CCATTATTAACAGATTAACTCTTCACCTCTTTTTTTTCTTTTGTGTTTGTATCCAGATTTCTATTTTTAGAGTATATTTTAAAATTTTACGGCAACATAAAAAATTTAATAGTAAATAAAGAAGAACAAAAAATAAAAAAATGGCAAAAGTTTTATAAACTAGATAAACCTGTGCACCACCAACCAAATGAAAATATGGAGAAATTCAATTAAGTCTCATAATCGAGAATTTATTAAACTTCTAGTGACAATATCCCCAATTGATTGCCATACAAGTGTCCATATCATAAATCAAATTTGAAGGAAAACAAAATAATAGGAGTTACTATTTAATCAGAGATATGAAGAGAAAGAGGAGTACAAAAATTGGCTCATCCATGGCCAATTTGTTATGCAAATTTCAATCAAATTTTCGGCACAGCGGAGAAACTGGGACAAATTGTTTAGACAAGATCGTCTAATTAATTTGGGCAATGGAGAAAATACATTTTCTGAAATATAGAAAAAAAGAATAAAAGATTGGTGTATTTTTTCCCCCTTCACATTGGGCTTAGAAAAAGATTTTTTATTTTATTTATTTATTATTATTATTATTATTTTTTTTTTTTTGTGGGTTTAATAGAATCTTGAGAAAAATTGGTGTGTATCAGCTTTCATGCATGCGTTCGATGGGCAAGTTAAGTCTGGGACCAATTTGCTTGAAATTCCTCTAGGGTATGAGTTGGTCATTTTCATGTAATTTCACTCTTTTGGTTTCTATTCTTGTCCATTTGAATGCCCGCATTCTTTACTCATCAATATGTGGTCTGAATTAACTATTTGATATTTGCAATTTGGTTCTCGACTTTCGAAAATAATCTTTTTTCCCCTTTTTTGGTTCATCTCTTCTAACTTCACTTTCAATCATTGAGTTTTACTTAACAAACAATAAACACACGAGATTAAATTATAATTAACCAAAAGTAATCTCAAATATTCCTATTTAAAGGTCAAGATAAGTATATAAATAACACTTATCAACATGTCCAATGGGATACAAATATTCCCGTCCCATAATATTCCATTTTTTCTAAGAATACGTCGTATACTTGTCAAAGTATGTGATCCTTAGATGCAAAGGAAAATCCCTCCTCGTCCAATCAGTAAAAAATGAAGAATAGTAATAACATTAATATTGAGTCGTCTAGCCACCTACTATTGAATGGAACTCCTCCTTGTCCAATTAGTCAAAAATGAAGAATAGTAATAACATTAGTATTGAGTCGTCAGTTTGTACTCTATAATAGTAGTCGAATACTCACCTACTATTGAATGGAATATCATACTCGCCATTCATTTCAACTATAAATAGAAGTTGATCTTTAGTGTCCATCATCAGCAAGAGTTTACGTTTTAAAATACATTGTTCCTCTACTACATACCATAATAACATCTTCTATATACTAGAATGGCTGGAATCAGTATGGCACCTGCTCTTGTTAAAAATGCTACAAACTGTGAAAAAGAGATTGTTCGTCCAGTCGCAAAATTCTCTCCCAGCTTATGGGGTGAACAATTTATCGAATTTTCTTTTGATACCGAGGTATTATTGATCCTTTCATTTTTTTTATGGGTTCTAGATATATACATTTTTTTTGTGCAAATCTCTACAATACAAAGTCTACATGGAAACCCTTTCATTTATAATTTGGGATGGGAACTTCAAATTGCCTAGATTTAGGAACATTTTCAAAATAAACTGTTTGAAATGGTTCTAAAAAATCTTGTTTTGTTTAAAATATAATTTTGTTGCGTGGATAGAAGATCATTTGAGGAAGATTCTTTGGGAAAATTTAATTGAAAATTACTGCCTGGTAGTATATGTTGATAGTAACATTAATTTGATGCTAGGATACTCATTATATGTTGTTCTTATGAAACCGAACAGTTAGCAGAAAAATATGCCAAGGAGATTGAAGGGTTAAAGAATGAAGTAAGAAGCATGCTGACAGTTCAAGGAAAATACATGGTGGAGACTATGAATTTGATTGATACATTGGAGCGCTTGGGTGTATCATATCAGTTTGAAGAAGAGATTGGCGAACTACTAGAGCGCTTCTTTAATCTTAACTCAAATTATGCAGATGAAGCGTATGACTTATACATTGTCGCACTTCATTTTCGTTTATTCAGGCAACATGGCTACCGCATATCTTGTGACATCTTTAAGAAATTCATAGACGAGAATGGAAAATTCAAAGAAAATATTAAGAGTGATACGAGAGGCTTGCTGAGCTTATATGAAGCAGCATACTTAAGAGTGCATGGAGAAGATATACTAGAAGATGCCATTGCTTTCACAACAAACAACCTGAAATCCATGGCGCCACATCTAAGTTCTACCATTTCAAAACAGGTAGCTCATGCCCTAGTGCAATCCATCCATTTCGGGAACCCAAGAATTGAGGCACACAATTTTATCTCTATCTACGAAGAAGATGAGTTCAAGGAAGAATTACTGCTGAGGTTTGCCAAACTAGACTATAATTCACTGCAAATGTTGCACAAACAAGATCTATATGAAGTCTCAAGGTAATGTTCTTAAAATTGCACTGATAGCTCTGTGATTGTCCATGAACACTAATAGATAAAAAAAATAAAAATAAAAATTCTTATACATATTGCAGGTGGTGGAAGGAGTTGGACCTTGTTTCTAAGCTTCCATATGCTAGAGACCGAGTGGTCGAATCCTTTTTTTGGGCCGTGGGAGTTTATCATGAACCTCAATATTCAACTGCTCGAATCATGCTCACCAAAACCATTGCAATGACATCAATAATAGACGATACATATGACGCTTATGGTACTGTCGAAGAACTAGAAGTTTTTACAGAGGCCATTCAAAGGTTCATATTTCTTTCTTTCAATAGTACTCACAATAGGAATACAGTTGTTTATTCATGATTGTAATCAACATAATATCCTTTTTTTTGTCCAGGTGGGATATTAGCGAAATTGAACGGTTGCCAGAGTACATCAAACCATTCTATAGTGCTCTTTTGAATCTTTACGAGGAATTTGATGAAGAACTTTCAAAGGAAGGAAGATCTTACGCAATCCATTATGCAAAAGAAGCAGTAAGTATTACATTTTATAGTAATCCACATCTATTTTATTCCTTTTTTTGTTGCTTGTTATTAGCTTATATATTTAAATTGTAATTGTTAACTTATAGAAATGTCTATTAATTTGTTTTAGTTGAAAGAACTTGTGAGGGCTTACTATGTGGAAGCCAAGTGGTTCATTGAAGGACACTTGCCACCATTTTCTGAGTACATGAGCAATGCCTTAATTACATGCACTTATTGTTATCACACATTTACATCCTTATTGGGGATCAAGTCTGTCACCAAGGAAGACTTTGAATGGCTAAGCAATAAACCTAAAATTCTTATGACCAGCCTCATAATATGTCGATTCATTGATGACATCGCTACCTATGAGGTACGAAATAAAAATTGTCTATACAATAACATCAATTCCACAAGCAAGTTTAAGTCTCTTATCTAATTGTTTTTTCTAAATTATATCTTAATGAAGGTTGAGAAGGAAAGGGGCCAAATTGCTACCGGAATCGATTCATACATGACTGAGAATGGTGTGACTAAAGAAGTTGCCGTGGATAAATTTTTGAAAATGACCACAAATGCATGGAAGGATATTAATGAAGAGTGCCTCCGACCAACTTCCTCTTCTCGAGAAATTTTAATGCGAATTCTCAACCTTGAACGTAATATAGACGTAACTTATAAAGGCAACGAAGATGGATACACACAACCAGAAAAAGTTCTGAAACCTCATATTATTGCTATGTTTATTGATCTCTTCGAGGTCTAAATATTGTTTGCGAACAAGCTGGGGACAAATTGATATATTCAAATATTAAGTAGTTCTTATATTTATATCAATGTCATAAAATAAAACTTTGAGACTGTTTAATGTTTGCAATCAATTTGGTGAATTATAAATTCATCCTTTTCAAAGTCATTTATTCTTCAATATGCATGATGTTAATCGTCAAAACCCTGCATGAAAATCAGGGCTGTCTTCCAATGAACAACGGAGACGAGAAAATTCAACATTAAAAACGCCAAAAGATCTTAGGTAAATTATCTAGAATGCTTAATAGCCGATACTAAGTAGAATAATCAACACTAAAATTGTAGTCAAATAATCTTGTTCAAGTTCCGTAAAATACTAATTTAATGCCAAATAATAGTCAAGCTCCAATCAACCCCATTCGAATCAAATAGCCTTCACATGCAGCATGCATCAAGGTCCGATGCATTTACTTTTTAAACTAACATTTGTATTACAAATCAAGTAGTAAAATTAGAACATAACTTATATTATGAAAACTTAAACACATGCATGCAAAATAGGAAATTTGCGACTTACAAAAACGTAGAAATTAAAAGAGATAAAATGAAGTTATAAATGTGGTTATAATTCTTCTTAAGAGGGATTTCATTCCTTACACTCGTTATTAGGTTTTATGAAAGACGTCTTTCAAGATAAAATATTTTTTTTCTAAACTTAATGCAATGAAATAATTTTGATGGGCGAAACGAAGTTTGACCGTACTCATAGGTGGGATGATATCGAAAACTAAAACTAAAAACAAACAAAACAAAAAATTGAAAATGTTTGATAGGATTTAAAACGAGAAGTACAATATAAGATTTCATTATTTTGGATTTGATTTGGAGTAAAGAAAATTGAATTAAGAGGTCCTATTTATAAATTTTAATATATCTTTACATTTTTTTTTTAATTTTTTTGGTGCACATAACCATTTGGACCATTAGATCACACTCTTCCTATTGGGCCATGATTTGGTGATTCAGAATGCACCTATCCAAAGCTCATGAATCGAAGTGCTTTCATTGCACTTGAAAAATTGCACCCTATCATCACCTATTGTTTGATCTCAATTCCAGACAAACAATACTTAAATTCATTTATAAATAAATATGTTAAGTTTATTTTAAAAAAAATAAAATTGATGTATCACATTAAAAATAAGTAGGTTAATTATTTGAGTAAGATTTAAATAGTGAGTTTTCTACTAAACTTAAGAAAAGAGTAAGTTATTCTTTTAGGTAAAAAGTAAATAAGTAAGTTTTGACATTATTAAATTTTTCATTAATCAAAGTTAAAAATAAGCCAAATACCTATTTGGACACGAAATGAAAGAATTAATTCAAAAATAATAATTTTTAACGGAAATGTAGAGAAAAGTAAGTGTCAAATATAGACAAAAAGTAACTTTACTATTTTCAACCAAAAATATTGTTATAGGATATTTTCTTTAAGTAATTATTCATTATTCTAATATGGTATTGAGCCAAACCCCTTATGATAACTATACATCACAATCCTATTCCTCCTAATTCTATCTATTATATTTCAATAACTATTAATTCTTTACTTCTTTATTTATTTTTTTGCATTGAATTGTTTCAATGTTTCTTTGTTAAACTTCGCATCAATATCAAAGAAGGCAGAGTATATATTCTGAAATAAAACTTGTTCTATCATATTCTGGATATGTTAAATTTTCGAAATCAATAAATTATTTTATTGAAAGAACATATATTGAAAAAGAATTTTAAAAAAAATGAATTTTTTAAGATGTGTACCAAACATGGGTTAAATAAACCCAAAAAAAAAATATATATATATATATACAATCTAATTTTGTTGTATCATTTTTATAACTAAGCCCCCGTTTGTTTACCATTATTTGCTCATTAAAATGAAAAATATGACCGTTATCCATCACATCAAGCCACCATATTTGATTTTCTATCTTTTGTATGAAGCCCGTAACGACTATATTTTTCATTTTCATTTTTACATTAATGTGTACCAAACGGGACCTAAACTCGTTAATTGACAAATTTTGGGTGGAGTACTCTTTAAATTTTGGGTAGTACTCTTTCTTAATCTTGTGAAGTCGGGTTCATATTCCAAATTTCCAATCTAACTTGTCAAGGACTATTTATTATCAAGTTCCAACTTCCAACTAGTAGGATTAGCTAGTTCTCAGGTACTTCACAAAGAATGTTGCTATACCATCAATATTAAAGACAAAATGATGAATAAATTGACAAAGGTCACATGCCATGAAAAAACTAAGGTAATATTAATGAGAGTCACATTAGATAGAGAACCAAATTTACTACCCTTTGAAAATTTTAACTTGAGAACTGTTCTCTCTGCATTTAAGACTGCCATTGCTGGACAATATTCAAGCCTCCCAATTCAATTTCACTCACGTAAAATAGGCACTGTTGATATCAGTAACTTTGTTCATTACAACCTTTCTTTCTAAAAGTGTGACTGCGAAGTTCATCACCATCGCTCATAAGGTTAAAACCCTGTGACATCTCTCTTTTTCATGTGACCTTTCACATATCATACTTTTGCCTGTGACTTGCTTCAATACACTTTTTATGTTCCCCATTAGGGCCTTTATATATATATTCTTCGTTCTATATGCAATTCGTCTTCATCAAGTTTTGAGTTTTGGATTGATCAATCTCGATTACGTTATTAAGAAGAAGAAAAATGATGAAGGGTTATGTTGTTTGCTTTGTACTTCTCCTCTTTCCATTCGTCATGCATGCAAGGCACATTGGCAAGCTACACTCCCGTAAAGTTCTTTCTTTTTCTTGTTCTTAATTTAATACAAGATATTTCAGGGTTTATTGATGAAGTTTTTGATGAAAGTTGATAAAATGTTTGTTTAACTTTTCCCAAGCAAGTACTTCACTTTTAACGACCCAAAAAATCATAATATGGTTTTTCTGTCGATAGAAAAGGTTTCAAGATAAATTTTTTTGTCGGGCTTATGCCTAAATATATATCAGTTAGCGAAGGTGGCGTTTATGGAACTAACATTATGTTTGGCAGATAATGGGTCTAGCAAGGAGGAAGCAAGTGAGAAACCTGATTTGTATGTCGATCACGAAAGGGCACCATTGATGCATAGAAGAGCTGATACGCTTCAGATCGCTGGGTCGAGATTACCTGATTGCTCGCATGCGTGTGGATCGTGCACACCGTGTCGATTGGTTATGGTTAGCTTTGTCTGCTCATCGCTCGAAGAAGCCGAGACATGTCCAATGGCCTACAAATGCATGTGTCATAACAAGTCATATCCAGTTCCATAGTATTTCATTTTGTCTAAGATTCTTCGTATTTTTTTTCTTATAGATTTCCTTTGAGGAATCAAAGAGTTTCAAGTTCTAATTTATCATCTCTTTAAAGATGAAATTGGCGCTTGTGCTAATAGGGTAATGGGATTTTTTATATATGTGATACGAAACTTGATCAAGAATGCTTGCATGCTCAAGAAACCAAGAAAAACAAGCATGTCCGGTTATTTGAGATTAAAAATGAAAGTATTCTTGAATTCATTCAATTCCAATCAATTATAATATTTATTAATAACAAGAAATATTTATGCTACTTAATTAATACACAATTTTAATGAATTAATGCAAATAAGAATTATTATCATGCTTGTAGCAAGAAGTTATGATATAAGCTGCACGAAAATGTTTAAGGAACTAACTCTTGGGATGTGTTTCAAAAGCCAAAATTCTTCAGAAACGTCTAAGAAATTATAAGAAGATTTTCTTTACTTTTAATAAAATTCGAAAAATATTATTTTTCATTCACACATTCCGTATGTGCATGGGTGGAGCCATGCACAGTCCAGTGCAGGCAAATGCCCGCACTGGACTTTTGGCCCAAGCCCATGATCATTTTTTTTTAATAGGTATGTCTTTCATTAATTTAAAGTCCAACCCATACACTAATTTGCTCCAACTCTAAGTGCACGGCGACATTTTTTGACTCTCTTCCCTCAACAAGAAATTAAAAAATTTTCTTTTAATCTGCTCTCGTTTTGAAATATTTTCAAAATTTATTTCTTTCTTAAAATTCACATGTTTTTGGACCCTCAAATTTGTAGCAAAAATTTTCTTGATCATGTGATTTTTCTGTTTAATATTAAGGATTTTGATTATGAGAATGTTGAATATTGGTAATATTTGTGATCGATTTTTGAAATTTTGATTTTTGTCAATTATTTAAACAATTAGTAATGATTTTATGGTGTTCTACCAATTTGTAAAAATTAGTAGTTCTTTTCTTATCAATTAGTACTTAATTGTCACTTGTGATTTATTTTAGGGTGAAGTGTCAATGTAGAGTTCTTTAAAAGAAAATATTTCGTAGAAAATGTTGATGTGAAGATA